GACTTAAGGTTGATGGGTTCAGGGTTTAGGTGGTGTCGGGCTTAAGACTTAAGACCTGAACCTAAGAGTAGCCTAGGAATAGAAAGGGTGCCCTTTTTGGCTTAAAGGGTGCCATATGGGAACCCAAACCCTAAAAAAGGGAATAGGGGCCTACTCTGGGTCCTAGAGACTTAGGGTTTAGGGTCTACGGTCTAGGGTTTAGTGGTTCAGGGTTTAGGTGGTTTCGGGCTTTAGGCCGCGTGCCCTTTTCTAGGCGGACGATTATTACTTCCCCAGCCGCCTGCATCTGCAATCCGTGACGTTGGAGCTTTGATGTCCTCGTGGTCGCCTGATCTGGACCAGTGTAAGACTGTGGGATCACCACTTGTTGGTTTCGTGGCGACAAATTTCCAGCTCTGAGTGCATTCCCTAACGCACTGGCATTTGAAGTATGCCGTGGCTGCGTCAGCCTCACACTCCGCTTCTCCAACGCATGGCGCTTTCAATTCCTTATCAGCGACCCACGAGCGCATCTCCGGGACGAAGGCATCGCGATCGCCCGGCCACCTTTTCAAAGACCTGTTAACGGGATCCTCAAAACCCAACCCTAAAACCTGAAACTCTGAACCCCACACCGTCAAACCTGAAACTCGAAACCCCCAGCCCTCCAAGTACCCTACCCTGCCTCTCCTCAGTCCGCACCATCCCCTTTCCCCCCCAAACTTTAAACCATGGGCCCGAAACTCGTGAAGCCTAAACCCAGACCCTCAACCCTACGCACCATAAACCCCAAACCCCAAACCCCTAAACCCAAAACCAACCCTAATCCTTTATAAGCCCAATACCCTAACCCCTAAACCCTCAACCCTAAAACCCTAAACCTACTTGTCGGGTATCATGGGGAACTAAAGGTTAACTTGTTTGGTTATATAGGGATTAGATAGGGACTATACTACCCAAAAAAGGTTGAAGGTTACCTACTCTACCACAAGGTGAAGGATCCCAAACGCCTCACCGCCAAGTTGCAGTGCCGGCATCCCCTTGTTGTCGAAGCCCCCGAGCAGAGTAGAGATGCCAAAAGGCCGGACACCACCTGTAGTTTCGGGGGATTTTAGGGTCTAGGGTTCAGGCTTTTAGGGGTTTAGGGTTTGTAGGTGTTTAGGGTTTATAGGGGTTTAATCGGGGTTTAGGGTTTAGGGTTCAGGGTGTATGGGGTTTATGGGGTCTAGGGGTTTTGGAGTCTCATAGGGTTTACGGTTAAGGGTTTGTATGTTAGGCTTGAGGAATAACAAACAAAAAGTAGGGGTTTAGGTTGAGCCTACTTGCCGAGTACCCTGAGGAAGGCTTGGGGTTCAGGGCTTGAGGGCTTGAAGATTAAGGGGTTGATCTAGGGTTTTGTGTAATGTTTCCACTAGGGGTCTAATACAAACCTCTCAGTAAGTGGGTAAGTGAGATAGTGCTCTGGGGGGGGGGGGGGGGGGGGGTGGGGTGGGTCGAATATACTGGCCTAAATATGTGAAATAGGGCTCTGGGATTCATTGTAGTGTATATAAATATTAAATAAAATTTTACACTTATAAATGTACACAAGGACCATAAGCGCACACTATTGCTAAATTACGAGTCATGCCGGCATGTATGTTTCAAACGAGGGCCTAACACATACGGTTGATGATACCAATCCTGCATCCTCCATAATAAGGAATATACCATAATTCCCATTGTCTGGCGTCATCAAGGTAATGCAAGACTTACACCAAAACCCTAAACCCTAAACCCTGAACCCTAAACCCTAAACCCTAAACCGTGAACACATAGCACCTATGGGCTCCTGAAAGGCGGCTGACACACGCTTAAAGGCTTCTATAAAGGCGCTCTGTTCAGGGTTTTGGGAGGATTCATACAGTATTCTCCCCTCATTCCGGGATCCGAACCATGAGAATCCGAATGTGTTGGATCTATATCCTTGACTTTGTGCAGCTCTTACTTAGAGGACCAAGTGACTAGTAAGTAGGGTTATGAGTACGGTAACTATAGTTATATCTACTTATAACCGTAATTAGGCTTCCTTACTAAGGCCCATGATCCTCCAAGAACTCATGCCTATACTTTCAAGCCCACAAACCCTAAACCCTAAACCAAGATAATAGCTTCAGCTCAAACTTAGGGCTGGTGCTCACAGGGAGTTGACGGTTTAGGCTTTCTGGCTGAATTTAGGATTTAGGCTTCAGGGTTAGCTCGGCTTACACTAGGATGCCCGGTAACCTAGGAATAAAAAGGGCTCCCTTTTTGGTTATTGGGTAGCTTTATTAGGAACCTAGGACTACAAAAAGGGAATAAGGGTACTACTGACTACTGGGCATCCTAGTACAGGATTGGGACCCGTCGGTGTTGACTTACATGCGCGCTCGCTTTCCTTTACAATTGCAGCAGCGCCCAGTGTTTTCCACTGGTGTTAGCGTGATGTGGTGCGTCCGACGTATCATCGGCTTCCATTTTCTGAGCCCTAAACCCCAAACCCTGAATGACATCACTATACCTCCTATTGACTGCACTAGAACGCTAAACCTGCAGCCTAAGCCTAAGCTCACAAACCACAGACGACCCGTTTTTAGGTTGCCCGAAATTTAAGGGTGCCATTTTTGACTCCTTTTCGTATTGTTCAATGGACAGACAACCACAAAAGGCACACTGGTTCTACTGTGGTACCTAGTCTCGAGGCCCTCGAAGATTTCGAAATGGGCCTCGATGGGTGTACTTCTGCTGGGTCCGTGCGATGAACCTGCAGACGACAGGGCTGGAATTTTTCACTCCGAAAGAGTTTGGGATTGTTTTTCTCGAGTGTAGAGGTGGATTCCTTTCGCAAGCTGAAAGGCTACATACGCTGCATAAGGCTTACCTTAACCCCAAATAGCCTACATTTTCAGGGACTTATATAAAGAAATTATATTACGGGGCCCTAAAAAGTAGGTTCCTTAGGGTCCAGGTACCCTAAACCATCAACTCACAACTTGGATCCATTTCGGGGACCCAGCCCCAGGCGCTGAAAGCAGAGTTTAGGAGCGTGGTCTTCCAGGCTTATCCCTACCCAGAGATCCCAATACCCCTTAATTGAGGAATACCTAGGGTTCCTTTAAGGGATCTAAACGGGATCTATAGGGTTTAAGGTTTAGGGGGCTCCAATACCCCTTAATTGAGGAATATAGCTTAAATCATAATATGAAGCCCTAAATCATCTAAGCCATAATCCTGAATTAAGGGGTATTGGGCTCTCTGGGCAGTGCAGTGATAAGGATTTGGGGCCTGTTATAGCATACTGAAATAGAGACTAGAACAATGATAGCAATACTGCTTTATTCTGACCCCTAACTTAAAATAGTACAGCTTTCAAGGGCTCAGGGCTGCGAGACGCTACTCCCCCTAGGAAAACCCGAAGCAGGAAATCATAATCCAAAAATCTCTGGTTAGCACCTCACCCTAAACCACAAAGGTTCTAAGCTTCCCTGCAAATCCTAAACCCTGAGCCTGTCACCCCAAACCCTAAATCCCCAAAACCCTGGACGGCACTTAAGATCGTATATCCGGACCCGGTTCGGGCCCTTCGGGCCGTCGTCCTGCGGGGTGCAAGCTGGAAATCTCACGCACCGCAGGCCAACACCGCTCCAGAGGGCATTCGGTGGGCCTCCCACGTGCGGTGGGACGGTCGCATACAGGGCACGGAAGCATTGAGCTCGGCGACCGAGTGCAAGATTTGCTGGTGGTGAGGGCGGTTCCCAGCCCTCGAAGACTGGCTGAGGCCGACGCGGCGGAGCAAAAACATCTGCCGAAGGTGGAGGCGGTGGGGGAACTGCGGCTTCTGCAGTACACGCCGCCCCTGCAACAGCTGCACACCCCAAAACCCCAAAACCCAAAACCCCTAAGCTCAATGCCCCAAAGCCACTAGACCCTATAAGACCGAAGCCCACTGTCCCAAACCCACAACTCCCAACTCCCAACTCGCCTGGCCACATAGTCCACAGTCGGAGCATCCTCGCCGCCAAAGCAGCTTGGGTTTAGGGATCTTCTCGGGTTTAAGCCTTAGGGCACTAGGGTTTGGGGCTCTGGGTTTAGGGTCTTAGGATTTAGGGTTCTGGGCCAAAGGCTTAGGGTTTTTGGTTTGGGGTCTCAGGGTTTAGGATTTCGGGCTTATTGGGCAAGGGAGTTCAGAGTTCTGGTTTGCGGAGAGTATAGGGTGTGAGGCTTCGGAGAACAGAGTTTAAAATACAAGAGTATACGATATAGGGTCATGGGTCCGGATTTGCTTGAAAGGCTAACTGCAATACTTCAGTAGTGGTGGTGCTGACAGTCAGAGGGGTTGTGATAGCACCAGTCGTCGTCGTCCTGCTGGTAGTAGTAGTAGTAGTAGTAGTAGTAGCAGCAGCAGCAGCAGGAGTAGTAGTAGTAGAAGCAGCAGCAGCAGGAGTAGAAGTAGTAGTAGTAGTAGTAGTAGTAGTAGTAGTAGTAGTAGTAGTAGTAGTAGTAGTAGTAGTAGTAGTGGTAGTAGTAGCAGTAGTAGCAGTAGTAGTAGTCGCACTAGAAGCAGCAGCAGCAATAGCGCGACTGCTACTGCTACTGCGAAGTACTAGCGATACTGGCCCTTCACTGTAGCTTACGTCTTATGCCAGCAACAGCAGGCAAAAGCGTTGGCAGCAACTACGGATAATCACAGCTTTTACAGTAAATTTATCAAAAAAGAGAATTGTCGATCGAGCTTTTCTTCAGCGTGTCGTGCATCCCGATAGGCCAGGCGAAGTCGCATACCCTCTTGGGTGGACATAAGGAGACTGCTCTAGGACTCCTCTAGGACCACTGCGACAAGCCTCAGCATTCAACTAGGGAACTTGGCTCGAATTGGGCTGCGCGCGAGTCTCTCTTGAACTGCGCCGGGAAAAGTTGAGCATGCAACTACGGAAAACATAGCGAAATAGTAATTATGCTTAAAAGGATTCGAAACACTTTGTGTGTTCAGTGCCACGAGAAGCTCACCACTTATCAGCTTTGCTGTAGACGTAGTTCGCCACGTCCTCGAAGTTGTCAGGTCGCATCTTCTCCCCGACCGCAGGAGTTGTGCCCCTGTCGTCGGACACCCGGGTGATGATGGCCTGGTTTAGGGTTAAGGGTTCAGGGAGGTTTAGGGTTTCAGGTGTAGCTGTGTGGAGTTTAGGGTTTAGGGTTTCTGGGATCTAACGTTAAAGTTTAGGCATGATGGCCTGGACGTCATACTTTTGGTATTTCCCTAAACCCTAAACCCCAAACGCCTGGACGTCGTACTTTCGGTATTCGACGAGGGATTCCTTCTTCTGCAAGCCAAGCAAACCGCCCACGTGGCAGGCAGTGCAGTTGCCTTGGAAGGATGCCTGGCTCTTCTCCTTACTGCTCCGAAGAACCTTAAGGTGTCAGGTCTGTTTTGTTTCTCTTTTTTGGGGGGGAGTTTAGGGTTCAGGCTTTAGGGTCTGGGGTTCAGGGCCTACTTGGAGGATCATGGGACTGACTAAGTAGGGTTACAAGTACCCTGATGGGGGTTATAGGCAGTCATAGGATTAGCTAAATAAAATTTATAAGCCCTGCTTACTAAGCCCCCTGATCTTTTCAAGTACTGCTCCAAAAAAGCACTAAGGACGTAGCGGAAGGTCAAACGGCTCAGGCGGTTCAGGGTTTGGGGTTTAGGGTCAAGTCACCAAATCACATGACCAGCGAAGTCAAAAGATGAAAATTCCGAGCTGTGTATAACAATTGTTGCAAAAAGAACCCAACCAAGATTGTTCAAAGGGTACGTATTGGAGAACTATGTCACCTATACGCTCCTTAAGCCCACAATATGAACATCCACAGCGCGTTCTTACATATCTCATGGCTAGCCATGATAACGAGCATGACACATGATACCCGACGAACCCACTAACTTTGACTAACACGAGTAGATAGTATTCCTTGCTACACTTTTAATATACTATACTATACCATACTGTACCGTACTACACAATACTATACTCTTTTACTATGCGATGCTAGACTAGACTATACCAAGCTATACTATACTTTACTGTACTATACTACACTATACTATACCGTACCTCCCTCAAAATCTCCTAAAGAACTGCAGAGCGAAGTCGCCAAATCCGTGGCAAGGGCCGGTGCTGCAGTGGCCACTGAAATCCTTAAGTTGCCCAGTTCATAGGCCCCCCAAAAAAGTTGCAACTTTCAGATTTCAGTGTGGAAGCAGGGTTCATTTAGGGCTTTAGGGGTTTAGGGTTTAGGGTTTAGGGTTTAGGGGTTTAGGGTTTAGGGTTTAGGGTTTAGGGTTTAGGGTTTAGGACTTAGGGCTTCTAGGGTTTAGGGTTTACAGGGTTCTTTATCCCCAAAGAGCTTAAAGTTGACCAACTCAGCTACCGAGGATCAGCAGCCCAAACGCTGCACCGACAACCAGCGGACTCCAAGGAAAAGGCTCGGATGTGCCCGTTAATACGCCTGAGCTCTCTCCCAGTAGGGTTCTTAGGGAACCCAGGGTTCCTTCAAAGGGTACTATTCTGGTTCCTTTAAGGGATCTATACGGTTTAAGGTTTAGGTTCTGCGCCTGGGTCGGCGGCTGTCTACCTGAACCCGAGGCCCCAATTCCCTGAACCCTAAACCCCAAAGAACTAAACCCCAAACACCTATACAGCCACTATACCCTAAAGAACTAAACACCAAAAACCCTAGAGCCCCAAAGCCCCTAAACCCTAAAGAACTAAACCCCAAAAACCTAGAGCCCTAGAGCCCCTAAACCCTAACAAACTAACTTCAACTTGTCAAAGCCCTAAAGCCCCTGAACCCTAAACCCTAATAAGTTCGTGCCCCGACGGGCCCCATTCTACTGAAGGGTACGGTGTAGGGGTACTCTAGGCTTCTAGAACAGGGTCCCCGGCGAAGGGTAGTATAGGGTTCCGTAGTAGCGTCCCCTTTAAGGGATCTACTTTATTGGATCCTCCCAAATGTCTGGGTTCTTGGATTTTGCAGTTTTGGGTTTGGGAAGTGTTGCTCATCCGGGCAGCAGGGCGGTAGAACTCGAATTTTGATCGGAAAAAACCATCGTAAAAGATCATCGGAAAATTAGAGTTCTCCAAATAAAAAGGATCCATAAACACCGATGTCAATGGCTAGCCTGGGTACTCGGCTGCCCCGCCTCCGCGCGCAGCTCTTTGTGAGGTGCGCATTTCACCAGTTGGCTGGGGAGGAGGAAGCAGCCGGCTCCGTGAAAGGCCAGGCAAAGGGCGGCTGCGACGCTCGCAAAGCGGAACATGATCTTCGCAAGGGAGAGTGGAAAACTGTCTCCTTTCACCAGTGAGCGTTCGAGCCTATGATGTGGGAGTCAACCGTTCCTAAAATTTCCCTAGCCAAAGCCTTACAACTCGAGGCCTTTGGCAACTGCGCGATATCGGATTACTTCGTGACAGCAGGTCGTAAATCGAGTTTTGAGAGCCCTTGCCTGGAAGCGTACTTACGATGAAGAACTGTCGGGTCTGCCAACATGCCCGAACTCATGAACTAGGTTCTTCAGTAGCTCCTTAATGGATCAGGGTACCCTTTTTCCTAGTATTTGGGTTTTAAGAAGTGAGGGTTCTGCCCAAAGATCCCAATGCCCCTTAATTGAGGATTATACCTTAAAATATAGGGGGCTTAATCTTATGATTTAAGGTGTATTCCTTGATTAATGGGTAGTGGGTTCTCTGGGTAGGTTGTAGTCGAGGATCAGCGCACTTACCCTGCATCTCCAAGCAGGGTCTATATACGGGTTCCAATCTGGGCTTGACGGTGGAATATAGGGGCCGGGATCATCAGGAAAGGGTTTCGGGGTGCATTACACTATACCTACTTGGGGGATCATGCGACTTCGCAAGTGTATAAAGCTGAAAGTACCTTCATTGGGGTTAGAAGTACGTATATAAGTATAAGTATAGCTGCCTTATTTTTTGAACTTACTTACTAGGTCCCCTAATGCTTTAAGTACACAGGGTGGGACCCTAAAGTATAGCATCGGCAATTAGTCAGGCTTCTATATTCGGAAGCTCAAATACCCCGTAAGTAAGGAATATGGCTTAAGTTATATAGGGCTTCATGTTATGATTTAAGCTATATTCCTTAATTAAGGGGTAGTGGGCACTCTGGGAAGCTAGATCTGCTGGCAGCTAGTCCTGAAATACAAGACGAAAAGCTCCAGCCATATATCCTACTATAGGGGCCTGAATAGTTAGAATAGGGTTCCCTTGAAATGGGTCCTTTAAATGGCTACTATAAGGGATACTATGAGGATACTATCATATAGGGGCCTTAATAGATAGAAGAGGGTTTTGGGGCCCATGATGCTTTAATCCAGATAAGGACCCCCCCCCCCCCCCCCCCCCCCAAGAAAATAAAACAAAAAAAGTATAGGTCATTATTGAGGCCCCTATGTTACATCCTAGAGCGTCTGAACAAGCCTGCGGTACGGCCACAAGCCCCATTTCTAAACCCTTAAACCCCTAAACTCCAAACCCTAAACCCCAAACTTTACTCCCTAAAGCCCTCAACCCCTAAACCCTAAACCCTAACCCCCCGCAAGCCCCACATCTCACAGCTGCAAGCACTCGTTTCAAGCGATTTTCACCGCTTCTCTCGGCCAGTTGTCCTGGGATCGGGAAGAAGTACTTGGAGGATCATGTGAGTTAGTAAGTCAGGCTATAAGTACCTTAATTTGGGTTTAGAAGCAACTAGCCTACATACAACATGTATACCCCTACTTGGTAAGTCCCCTGATCCTCGAAGAGGAGTCTCGGGTTGCTAAAATTCGCGGTTGTTTGGGCTTCAACGTTCCCGGTGATATTGGTTTGGGGTTTACAGGGTTTTGGGTTTACAGGGTTTTGGGTTTAGGGTTTTTAGGGTTTAGGATTTAGGGCTTGTGAGGGGTTCGGATGAGTTCAGAGATGTGTTAGGGGCTCGGCATCGGAGGAGCTCACCCATGTAGGCGCCTGATAGATAGGACCTCTCTTGTGGCAAGGGTCCAAATGGTTTGGCCTTTGACATGTGGTTCATTCAATCCGTGCTCGAGATTTCAGTTTATAAGTTTATAAGGCTTAAACTGCTTTGGGGCCTCTACGATGTCGAAAACGCAAAACCTTGAAGACGAGACCCTCAACTACTATCTAGTGGGCGACGGCCCTGCAACGTGTGAAGACCTCCATGGGACTCTTGTACATACATTTGGGGACACTAAGGTCGTTTTCACGGTGGGAAACAATGTTGTATACGGTTCATCTCAGAGCCACTCTTGGGATCTGTATAAAGGAATCATCTAGATTGGGTTTCGTAGTTGCGATGACAGTACCCAGCGATCCCAAGACCGCTTTATTAGAGTATACATCGTATGGTAAACTGGCTTAAACTAGATGGGGTTTAATATTATGAATTCACGGTATATTCCTCAAGCAAGGGTATTGGGATCTCTGGGTAGCTGATGTCAGCAACCGGGGTTCAGCGGGCAAAAGGATCTCACCCGGGTTGAAGTCGCTAGGGCTGCTTGGGGGATCATGGGACGTACGCAGTAAACAAGGTTATAAGGACCTTAATTGAGGCTACAAGCAACTATAAGCGTAGTTACCCTACTTCGAACCCTACGCACTAAGTCCCCTGATCCTCTGAGTAGAAGGATTCCTCTACATAGAACGAAAGCATAGATTAGAATCATAGGAGTAGCGTAAATTGGATAGCCTTCTGTCGGGGTGCCCGGTGTCTTTGTGCTAGCCGTAACCACGTACTAACCTGAAGACATGCACTCGAGTCTGATATTCCGGAGCCCCGAAATGCGACTAGCAAAGACCAAACTGCAAATCCAGAAAAAACCCGAAACCCTAAACCCGAAACCCTAAACCCGAAGCCCTAAACCCTAAACCCTAAACCCAAACCCTAAACCACCGAACCGAGGGTTCATGGGGCCTCAAGGCCTTGGCCTTGCATCCTGTACTCAAAATCAGAGTTGCACTAGCTTCCCCAGTAGTACCCTTTTTGCCCTTTTTCTGTTTGGGTTCGCTTGGGGTGGTTCTTCATTAGGGTGATATAAGGACACCAACATCAGGTACCTTAATTTTCGGAAACTAACATTTGGCATTTGGCATCCTATCGGGAGGAATCCTTTACGAGCGCTACTTCTTTTTGGACCTTACAAATAGCCTCGCAGTCAAAGCAGGAGCCTGGCTATTTGGGGTAGGGCAACAAGCTCTACTTGGAGGATCATGGGACTTAGTAAGTCGGGTCATAAGTGCCGTTGCTCCCCAGACTATACCCCTGAGAACCATAATGACAAAAACACGCTTAACATGCTCTTGGGTGTTATCCCTAAACCCTAAACACCCAAACCCCTAAACCCCAAACCCCTAAATCCATAAACCCTAAACCCCTAATCCTTAATTAAATACCCCTCAACCCCGAAACCCCCACAAACCCTAAGGAGCCCAAAAACGACAGCCCAGCGGCACGGCGGGCCGATCTTCGCCTCCTCGCGCAAGCGCCAGCCGATCCACTCCAAAATCTGGAGGACCTGTGAAGGCTCTAAGAATTTGAACTGTAAGGTTCCTTTAAGGATCCCTTTGAGGGTTTAGGGTTCCTTTGTATGGTGAAGTCATAAGGCTCTAAAACACTCGAAGGGTTCCTTTAAGGGTTTAGGGTTTGAGGGTTTAGAATTTAGGGTTTAGGGCTTCAAGGCTCTGAAAACTTGAAGTTTAGGGTTCCTATAAGGGTTCAGGGTTTGTGAACTTCAAGGCTCTAGCAAATTTTAAATTTAGGGTTCCTTTACGGGTTTAGGCTGTAGCGGTTTAGGGTTTAGGGCTTCGAGGCTCTAGCGAACTTGAAGTTTAGGGTGCCTTTAAAGGTTCCTTTAGGGGTTCAGGGCTCCTTTTAGGGCTCCTGTAAGGCTTTCGGATTCCTTTAAGGGTTTAGGGCTCCTTTAGCTTCAAGCTTTCGGCGGCTCCTTGACCTACTTGTCGAGTAGTCTGGGGAACTAAAAGTTGACCTTGGGAGTATGTTCGGATATATAGGGACTATAGTAACTATATAGGGACTATGACTATAGTATCTATCCCAACAAGCCTAAAGGTTACCTAGTCTACTGCTAGGTAGAAGTTCAGGGTTCAGGGTCCTACGACAATAAGGAACCCTGGATATCTGGGGTCCGGGGAAGCCCCGGGCACGAACCGTGACCCAAAACCCTAGACTAGGATGCCCAGTAACCTAGGAATAAAAAGGGCTCCCTTTTTGGTATTGGGTAACTTTATCAGGAACCTAGGACTACAAAAAGGGAATTTTTAAGGGTACTACTGGGCATGCTAATGGAATTTTCATCTCGAAAGCCAAGGGCAGATCTTGTCCTTGTACTCAAGCTGCTGCAGCAAACTGTCAACCCGAAGCCTTAAACCTGATCCTAAACCCTAAACCCTAATCCTAAAATAAATCTTTCGAAAAGTAGGTTACTTGTGGTTCAGGTCGGGCTTGGGCGCTTCCGGATTGGGGCCCGTGGCTTCAGGGTTCAGGGCTTGGAGTTCAAGGATCGAGGGTTACGGCTGAATAAATGTTCTTCCCCAGAGGGTCCAAGTACCCAAATAGTAAGGTTTCAAGGTCCAAAACTACTCAGAGTATGGATTTGGGACCCAAAACCCTACCACTTGAGTACTCGGACCCTCTAAGTTCTACATTAAGAAAAAGCTTTAGCTTCAGCTATGGCTATGGAGAATGTGCTGCGCAGCTTAGAGTTTAAGGGTTTAGGGTTTAGGTTTTGCTTGGTACACTTCTCGATTTGCGGGTTTAGGGTTATAGGGTTTAGGAAATTCGAAAGGGATGGCGATTTGGGACTTGTGGTTTAAGCGTGATAAGCTTTGGGCTGCACGGCTGTGGTTTGTCCTGAAATCCCCAAACCCGAACTACCGTAAACTGCCCTAGAACCCGACGTCCCTGAACGAATTAATAAACAGAACAAGACCCTTATGGAATTTCATACGACAACCCCTTGATTGACAGTCCCTTCCTATAAAGCCTCTGTGAAGACACCCCCTGAACCATTGACCCTGAACCCTAACCCTAAAGTTTCATCCCGACACCCTAATCCCTAAATCCTGCACCCAAACCTAACCCGTTCACCCTAAACCCGAAACCGTTTCCGCCCCCTAAGTTCCTAAACCCTTAAACCCGAAACCGTCTCCGCCCCTAAACCCCTAAACCCCTGAACCCTTAACCCTACACCCATAAACCCTCAACCCTACAACCCTAAACTTAAACCCTAAACCCAGAACCCCTGAACCCATGAACCGCAAAACCCTAAGCCCTACACCCCCAAACCGCTAAACCCTCAACCATAAGCCCTACACCCCCAATGAAATGGCTAAACCCTAAACCCCTAAACCCTAAACTCCAAAACCCTAAAGCCGCCTTCTGGTGCCCGCGCTTGTCCAGCGCGGCTTTGGCCAAGAGCTCCAGGGCCCGGGCCTCGTCGAGATCCGAAGAGTCCTGGGCATCTTCTCCGATGGATTTAGGGTTTTGCGTTTTTTGTTAATAGGATTTTAGGATTTTGTGTTTTTTTGTTGTTTAAAGTGGGATTTGGGGTTATAGGGTTTTAGCGTTTATGTAGGGTTTGGGGCTGTAGGGCTTTAGGGTTTATATTAAGGGTTTGAGGTTTAGGATTTAGGGTTTAGGGTCTGAAGAGTCCTGGATATCTTTTCGTCTGGTCGATGATGTAAACCCTATGTTTCCTTTAACGAAATCTAAAAGGTTGCCTTTAAGGGGTTCCTTTAAAGGATCTTTAGGGTTTTAGGGTTGAGGGTTTCGGGTTCATGATATATAAGTGTCTGGACTATCCCACGTGTGTTTTGCTGCGATCTCTGGGGGGTTTTGGGGTTCTTTTGGGTTTGGGAGGAGGGTTTTTGGCGCCTCTGTTTAAGAGGAAGGGGCTTGTTCGGTGAAGGTTATTGAAATTTCAATTCCGGATGCTGGCGCTCTGGTTGTTGTTTTGGGTAGAAAGCGTTCAAGTTGCAGGGAACCCCAAACCTTCGACCCTAAATTCTGCAATAGACCCTAAACCCTAAATCTTGAACCCTAAACCCTCAACCCGAAACAACCATTAATAAAGGAATACACCTTAAATCACAGTGGGGGCTGAAACTTATGATTCAAGGTATATTCCTTGTCAATTCATGAACGCGTATCTGAGGCCTAACCCTACACCACAATTCCTAAACCCCTCTAAGGGCCATAAGATAGGGGCCTTAATGATTACCCTATACTATTCTGGTGGGTTCCTTACTATAGCTATAGTATAAAATACCCCCAACCCCTAGTCTGATTATTGAGGCCCCTACATCCCAGACCTTCCAAAATCCCTTAATTAAGGAATATACCTTAAGTTATAGTAGGGCCCCTAATTTGATTTAAGGTATATTCCTTAATTAAGGGATTTTGGAAGGTCTGGGATTATAGAACCCTAAAAGAGATCTCTTATAAAATCCTTTAAGGAACCCTTTAAAGAGAAACCTATTCTGATTATGCAGGCCCCCATAGTAAGAGGCTTCAGTACAGGGCCCTTACAGTAGAAGCCAGAAAGTTGGAATATCATTATCGTAACCCCTTTAAGGTAAATTATAGGGGATCCTACCATTAATCCATATTCCAACTTTCTGGAGTTCCCTTTAGGGGGTCCCGGGCCGGGCCTTCGCCACCACCCACCAGCCGAGCGTTTCATGCCCAGACACCTCTCGAGACACAGGGTTTAGGGTTCAGGGGCTTAGGGTTCGCAAGGTTTAGGGGTTTAGTGTCAAGGGGCTTAGGGTTTAGGGGATTAAGGTTTGCATCCAAATACCCCCTAATTCAGGATGCTACCCTAAATCAATACGGGGGCTTAGTATTTTGATTTAAGATATACTCCTTAATTAAGGAGTATTGGATTCCCTGGGCAGGTTTACGGGGCTCCCTCTTCAAAAGGGGTTTCGGGTTTCTAGGGTTTGGGGTGTAGGGTTGTGGATCTAAGGGTTCAGGCGGTGAGGGCCCAATGCAGAGAGCGAGAGTGTGGGTTTGGCTTCGCCTTGGAAGTTCAAGGTTCGCGGCTCAGGGCTCATTCTTTAAGTCGTGGGGCTTGGATTCTGGGTTCAGGTTTCTAAACTTTAAACCCTATACCCCGGATCTGGGGCTTCGCATTTGCATAGGACTTGAACAAGACTCCCAGATCCCTCCCAGGGAGCCCAATACACCATAGTTAAGGAGTATACCTTAAATCGTAATATTAAGCCCCCTTTATTCAAGGTATACTCCTTAACTAAGGGTTCTATTGGGATCTCAGAGTTCTGAATGCACTCCTGAACCCAAAATCAACTTCATAGCGCCTTGAGAGACGAGAACGTACCGGTTTGAACGGAACTCTTTCTGTTTCGATGGCCTCCAGGACAACTTTAGTTCGTACGATGTCCCATTAAGCACATGTAGCATATGAGCTGAAACCAACGGAATAAGGGCCCAATTAAACCTCAATTGTGGTTCGTGGGGCAAGCTTGTTGCAAATCTCCGAGCTAGCAAGTATGGGTTCGCTTACCCAACAAGGTGACTGGGTTTGTCACTTAACATCCACAAATCTACGTTTCCACGGCTCCTCAATCAGTATGTCAACGTCTCCTTTTGTTGATTCCTTTAAGGGGTTCCTTTAAATGGTTACTTTAACTTACTACCCCGACAAGCCACAGAAATAAAAGCATAAACTTTCAGATTCCTACCAAACTATAAGAACCCAAAAACTTTAAAGGTTAGGCATTGGCTATCTCAGCCAAAGGGTAGGATCTTGCGGGTTAAGGCTGGGTTTAGAAGTTTAGGGGCGAGTCGGTCCTGAAGCTGCGACACGTCGAAGCTTTGTTCGAAGAGTGTGCGCCGTGGGAAGACGATGACCTGCCTTGAAGCGCCGGGGATCTCGATTTAAGGTTTAGGGGTTTCGAGTTCTTGGACTGTGGGCCTTTTTTGTGTTCAGAACTTTACGGGATTTGATACGAGCTTTGGTACGGTTTGTACCAGGGTGTCATCATGAAGGCTTTCGCAGGGGGTTAGAGGGCGTAACGGGCTTGGGAGGCTGAGGGCCTTTGGGTTCGGCGCCTACATACAGGGTGGGCGGTTACTTGGTAACGATCATAAACCCTATTGGGATTCATTTTGAGGAACTAATTACAACTCTAATATTACCTACGTACTAAGTCTCCCCCCGCCCCCCCTCCCAGCCAGGGGTTGAGTTTGGGGCGGGAGGACTTAGTGCTTCGCCCTTCCTCCTGCTTCTCAAGAGGCTTCCTGGGAGACTAACCTGAATGCATCTTGTTTTTGGCTCAGCGCAGGTAACTTCGGAGTTGTGCAGCCTGTGTTTTTCTAGAGCTTGGTGTTACATCTTTCCCGTGCTGATTTCGAGCTTGTTGCTACGTCTTTCCGATGTTGATTTCGGGCTTGGGTCCATAAGAATGTGAAGAGCCCTACAACCATGGCTATGGACTGAAATGAAGCAATATAGCGGCCTTAATGATTAGAATAGGGTTTTGGGACCCATTATACTATAACTGTAATACGGAACCCCCCAAAATAGTGGTGGTAATTATATATATATATACACGGAAAAGCCAACAAACCTTCTTTCGCGACTTGGGCTTCTGCCTGAGCCTTCTATAAACACTACATCCCAAGCCGATAATTAGCCTGATCATGGGACTTCGTCAGTAAGGTTATAAGTGCCTTAGATTACTTGGGATATCAGTAATACAATACAGCCACCTGAATTTTCAACCCTACTTACTAAGCCCCTTGATCCTTGAAGACACCCACAACTCATAGCTATACCCCCTTATGTAGACCCATAATAAAAAAACAATATGTGTAATATTATCTTGGGTTTTAAGTTTTATATGAACAAAAATAAAAAAAAATCCTAAGGAGACTATAGCGAAGACCCTAGAGCGACCTCCGGCCCATGTTGATGAGAACGTTGTGGGCCATGTCAAGCACCTTCTTCGGCAAGCAAAAGGCTCAGAGGAAAGGAGATCTTTTGAGGTTGCCACAAGGGCTTCTTCTAGAAATGCATCAAACAATTTTGCCACAAGGGCTTCTTCTAGAAATGCTTCCAACTGTTCGGGTTTAGGGCAGTTTTCGTTGGATCTCATGAGGGTTTGTATTGGGTCATCAGGTGCCTCGGGGGCTGGGTGTCCCCTGATCCTTGAAGTAGGGCTATAAAGGGTCCTTGGGGCTCAAGGCCTGCTCAAGCCTGAATACGTTAGACAGCGCAAGGCCCAAACCATGAAGCCTAAATCCCACAACCCTAGAACCTCAAACTCTGCACCTGCAACCTCCCGATACACCCTCTCTAAAGAAGAGGCCCTCATATGGTGGATAATATAAACCCTGCATTACCCATAATAGGGAATATACCATAATTCCCGTAGTCTAGGGCCATGGAAGTAATGCAGAATTCATATCATCAACCCCTAGACAGTTGGGAGTTTTATTCCATGACGTTCCTCATTGCACCTGCAGCGCATCCACCAGCCGGTGGACAAACTCAGCCAGCCGAAAAGCCGCGAGGTTGGCGTCCACTTCCAAGACCTTCAAGACTTGACGGATGAAGAGTTCTGGGGCTTGAAAGGTTGGGGTATAGGGTTCTAGGGTTTAGGGTCTAGAATTAAGCCTACTTGTCCAGTATCCTGGGGAGCTAAAGATTAACCTTTGGGAGTATCTTGGGTTTATACAGAGGTTCCCGTACCCGATGCAAAAGGATGAAGGTTACCTACCCTACTACTAGGTGAAAGGTTTGGGGATATGGGGTGTAATAGGGTCTTGTGGGGTGTAGGTTATCGATTTGTTGGTAGGCTTTTTCATGAGTTCTAGTATAGGGGTGAGAATTACTAGGCATAGGCTTACGATCCGCTTGTAGCCCCAATGTCTGCGCGTGTATGTATGTATAGAGTACCGAGGTCTGGCATTCAAAGCTCGCACGAAAGGCAAGCTTTTGGCATGGCCTTCTCTTCTGTCCAAGTGAAGACCCAGGCGACGAGGGGCCAGCCTGGTCGATCATGAATCTGAGAATTCAAGAAAGTAGGGCATTGAGTCAGTTTGCGGTTAAGGGGGTTGAGGCTCCTTTGAACGGGCTAGACATGCTACTACTCGGGATCAGGACAACGCTGATGACAGTAAATATGCAAGTCTGACTAGATTTCCATGGCACCACGATGCTCATGTGGGGAGCTAAAGAAAACTTACACCCTAAACCCTAAACTGTGCTTCTAAGTAACCATGGAGAAAAAGTATAAACTTCTATTTCACAATGGTCCCTTTATGAAAAAAATCTTAAAGTACGGTACTCCAAAGCTCAGCAAAAAAAAACAAGACCCTAAACCCTAAACCCCTAAACGGGTAGTTGTCAAAATGCTGGCCCCGTTTTGGGTACCCTAATATTAGGTGCTGTACTACATTAGGGACCCAAACAGGGACCATAATTCTGACAACCACCCATATCAACCCTGCATTACACATAATTAAGTAATATACAATAAATTCCATAGTCGAGGGTCATTAGGTAATGCAGGATTTGTATCATCAACCCAAACCCTAAACTCCCTAAACCCCTAAACCCCAAGCCGGCCCGAAGTTCCGACAACTAACACAAGGCAAGCAAAGAGGCACCAGGCTCGGCGGTACCAAGCCAGTGGCTAAAACTCAAAAAAAAAACCTAAACCCTAAGGGGACTCCAACATCCCTTTAAATTAAGGAGTATTCCTTAAATCGTATTAGCGATCCTACTATAATTTAAGGTAGATTCCTGAGTCAAGGGATATTGGAGTCTTCGGGTAAGCCTCTAAACCCTATCTATAGCCTAAAGCCCTAAAGCCTAAAGCCCAAAACCCTAAACCCCGAAACCCTGAAGCCCGAAAGCCTAAAGCCCTAACTAAACCCCTAAACCCCGAAACCCTAATCGGCCTTTGGGCCCCCCGCGCGTGCGGGACAAGGAGATCTTGGCGGTGGCTCTGTTGAGGCTTGAGGGCTCAGGGTTTAGGGCCTGGGGTTTAGGCTTTAGGGTTCAGGGATTTAGGGTTTAGGGGTTTAGGGTTTAAGGATTTAAGGTTCAGGCCTTATAGTGCTTGGGCCTTTTATTTTGAGTGCGGGGAGGGGGAGGGGGGGTTGGAAGCTTCAGTGCTTGAGGACCTTTAAGTTTAATGAGTTTGGGGCTTTGCAGAATTGAGGCTTTTGTGCACCGAGTTTGGAGGCTAAGCCCCTAAACCCTAAACCCTAAACCCTAAACCCTAAATCCTAAACCCTAAATCCTAAACCCTAAATCCTAAACCCTAAATCCTAAACCCTAAACCCTAAATCCTAAACCCTAGAGGCTAGGGCTTTTTGGAGGCGTTGAGGCCCTCAGCGCTTTCGGGCTTTGGGCTTTAGGGCCTATAGGGCTTGGGGCCGCAAGGGTCTAGGGTTCAGGGCCGTAGCCTTGGGGGTTTAGGGTTTAGGGGTTTCAGAGCGCTGCTTCTCCCAAGGCTGCTGGGATTGAGGGCTATTGGAGGATCAAGGGACTTACTAAGTACAAAATTACGGTTCCTGTAAGGGTTCCGTCAAGGATTCTATGAGGGTTCGACAAGAGGGGCCTAGGGTTTAAGGGGACTTCGTAGGGCCATAAGTAAGGCAACTATAGCTATTACAGTTATGCTTTAACTACATCTAACCTTCATTAATAGGTACTTGTAACATGACTTACTCATTCCCATGATCCGCCCCGTAACATTACTACCAGTGTTCCTGTTAGTACCTATGCTCTGCTCTGCGATGTCTAGCTACGGCATCCTAAGCCCCTAACCCCCTAAACCCCAAACCCTCAACCCCAAACCCCAAGACCCTGAACCCTAGACCCCTTCAACCCCGAAACCCCCGCACCCATAAACCCCAAGACCCTTGCCCCCCTAAACAACCCTAAATCCCTAGGACCCTAAACAACCCTAACCCCCAAGACCCTCAACCCTAAGCCCATCTTATGATTCCCATATACAACCCTTATACTAGCTTGACCCTAATACCCTAGACCCCTGAACCCCTGAACTCCTAAGGCCTCTAAAGCCCTCTTAGAGGATCATGGGACTTAGTAAGTACGGTGATAAGTACCCTGATTAAGGCTACAAGTAGATATAACTATAGTTACCTTATTTATATCCCTACTTACTAAGTGCCCTGATCCTCTAAGTAAAACCCCAATCCCTATAAATCTCTTTACGGAACCCTCTAGATCCCTTTAAGGAGCCCTTTAAGGAACCCTACTTGCTTAGTCCCCTGATCATCCAAGCTCAACCGTAGGTGAGCCGCCGGTCCCCGGGGTTCGGCAGCTGCTAGGAGCCCCTGGGAGCGCAGGTGAGCCTCCAGCGGGGGCGTTTAGCCATTTTAAAGGTAGTATAGGATTTAGGGTTACGGGTTTAGGGTCAAGGGTTTGGCTTTTTGAAGGGCTTTTTAAGTAACCAGGAAGAAAAAAGTATATACTCTTATTCCATAATGGCTCCTTTAAGAAAAAAGTAATAAAATATGGTACTCCACAGCGCAGATTACCTATACCCATCTTCCCGCAGGTCGACAATACGTGTGTCCTGGTTATTCCGAGAACTCGGTGAATCACTTGAACGAGTTTTTGGCCTATTTTATACTATGCTTATGACAAGGAGCGCCCTCCCCCAACACCCTAAACCCTATAAGCAAGCCCTAGGCTCAAAGACCCAAAGCCCTCGTCACCCTATACCCCTGCTATCTGTCCCTTGAGCCACTGATCCTTAAATGTTAGACCGGGTCCACAAGTCCCGTTACAATGCTCTGAAATTCATACGGCTCAGTTTCGCGAATCATGTTAGAGCAAGTACCCTTGCAATGCCCGTATGGTGCCCTTCTTTTCCAGGACCATCGCAGAACTCCTTAAGTCGAACCCGGATAGTACCCGTATGGAAGCCTATACACCCTGAACCCCTAAACCCGACACCCTAAAACCACAAGCTTCCTGTAGTACCCCTACTTAGAGGATCATGGGACTTAGCGACAGCCCTTGATTGTCCTGCAAGAAAGCGACCCATCACAGTCGGAAGTTCCGACAGCCTGATATCCTTGTGACACCCCCAAAGAAACCTTCTCATAACCTTACTTACTGTAAAAAACCCTGAACCCAAAGAAAACCTTCTAAAAGCCCTTCTAGAAACCTTTAGAGGAGCCCTAAGTCACCCTTCTCGTAGGACCCAGTTGGGTTTAGGGTATAGGGCTTGGGGTTTAGTGTTTATGGGTATAGGGTTTGGGGTTTAGGGTAGAACCCAGCTTTTAAAGCCCCCGAGCTCGGACGCAGACCTCGAAGGGGAAGGACCAGCTGCCGTCGCAGGCTCCCGCGCAGAAGCCCTGGAACTTTGGGGTTTGGGCATGAGGGCTGAGGGTTAAGTCTTCAGGTTGAGGGCTGAGGGTTTCGGGTATAGGGTATATGGTTTGGGGTTTGGGGTTGAGGGTTAAGTTTAAGGTTGCGGGTTTAGGGTTGAGGGATTTGGGGTCTAAAGTCTACGGTTGAGGGTTTGGGGTCTGGGGCCCAGGGCTTAGACTCTGCTCTTTCCGGGATCTTAGAAGGGTGCTGTAAACATGTAGTTTGCGGCTGTAGCAGGGTTTTCAGGGAGACCGAAAACCCCCTCCGTCGAAAAATGTACCTGCCACCATCTCGGGCTAGTTGCGGACTTTGGTTTAACTTGCCATACTTCCTTATGATGGTACCTTGAATGAAATTCCTGGACCCTTAAAAGAACCCTTACTAGGGAGCTTAGGGACCTTACTCGAAACACAAGAACCTGGAACGCACCTGCACAGGTTGTCCTGAATGCAAGTACCCGCTTTCAAAGTCCAAGCTCATACACATGCAGCAGCACAGTCTCCAATACATTGCAAGCCAAATCCAAAGCAGTTCCACGACCTTCGGCTGATGATCTAAATCCTGCATTACCTTAAGGACGCCGAACTATGGGAATTATGGTATCTTCCTTATTCTGGGTAATACAGGATTTATATCATCAACCGTATATCAATTGCGGTGTCTTTGCGGCTTAGACAGTGTCCGCCTTTCAAAGTAGAGATGGTCTAGACCCAAGAGTAACCTTGAGATAAAAAGGGTGCCTTTTTTTGGTTTACAGGCGCTTACAAGGGAGCTTGAACCTGGCTACAACTCTGCAGAATTCCTGTAGGACTTCCGAACACCCCGGACATTCCGAGTCCCTTGCATTCCGGGTTTAGGATGGGGATCTGGGGTTCACGGCTTAGGGTCGCATTAGGACGGGCGGTCGTGCCCTTGGTTCTCTTCGTGCAAAAGCTCCCTAAACCCTAAACCCTAAACCCCTAAACCCCTAAACCCCTAAACCCTAAACTCAAGGCCTAGGCCGCCCACCTACGTGGGTGGGCGGCGCTTAAGCCCCTCGACATCGATGGCGCAGAACGTCCCAAGACGCTTGCCCGCCTCCCCACAGCCATGGGGACCGCAGCACCCACGTCGGCCCTGCCCTGTGGCCTGCCCTGCCCTGTCCTGCCCTGCCTGTTCTGGCCTGCCCTGCCCTGCCCTGCCCTGCCCTGCCCTGCCCTGCCCTGCCCTGCCCTGCCCTGCCCTGCTCTGCTCTGCCCTCCTGCCTTGCCCTGCGGTTTGCGGTTTGAAGAGAGAGAAACCTTGGAATGAGTTTAGGTGCTAAACCCTAAAAGGAATAGGTTTGGGTGGTTTGGCCGCCTTAGACGGCGTGGGGTGGGAGAATTAAAAGAGAGAGCCATCCACAATCAGGCTTTAACCCCCAGTCGTCACATGACGACGCACTCGAAAAGACACCGATCCAAGATCATTCCGCTTCTGCGCCACTCTACGGCAAACCCTAAACCCTAAACCCTAAACCCTAATTTATAGATGAAGGTTTGGATACCGTTTAGGAGAAGCACACTTTCTGCGAATACCACAGGCTTTGGGGCCGAGGGCTTCCAGGGTTTAGCGGTTTAGGGTTAAGGGGTTTAGGGGTTTGAGATTTAGGGTCAGGGTTTAGGGTTTAGGGTTAAGGGGTTAAGGGGTTTAGGGGTTTGGGGGTTCAGGGTTTAAGGGTCAGGGTTTCCAGGCTTCGAGGCCTGCAGGTGCAGGTGATTGACAGAAGCCCCGGCACCGATAGAGTTGAAAGATAGCCACAGCCTGCGAACCATGGAAGTTGAACTATGGAATCGGGCTTGGGGTGTCCAGTTTTGGGCAGAAAGCGCTTGGCAACGGTCTCTGAGGGGTTGCCTTTGGAGTCGGGAAGGCTTCTCAGTTCAGAGAAAGACGAGAAAGAGAAGGAGAAGCGACGAGACTGTCTACAGCCTGCTTGTCGGGTGTCATGGGAACCAAAGGCTAACCTTTTTGTTAATAGGGATTATATAGGGACTACACTACCCAAAGAAGGTTAAAGGTTCCCTACCCTACTACTAGGACAGTGAACTCCAGAAAGTTGGAACATGGATTTAGGACGGTTAGTGCTGGGATTACCCTATACTTTACCTTGAAGGCATGTGGATAATAATGTTCCAACTTCCTGGCTTGTACTGTATATCTGTGTACTTCTACTTCGCCGCATGGAGAAAAAAGACTGAATGACATCATGCGTCTGCTCCTCCAAAGATGTTTTGATAAGGACGAAGGCCTGCCATGAACAAGCAAAAGACCAACATAAGAGACCGCAGCTCGTATCATCCTTGCAAATGGATCCCCGAATCTTGAAGACTCGTGACTCAAGATATGACGTCCTTTAATCCGCAATCAATCCCGTGAAATGCTTCTGGCAGCATTTTTAAGAAGGCTTCATGCTACTTAGAGGATCATGGGACTCAGCAGGTAAGTAGGGTTTATAAGTGGATATACCTATGTAGTTACCTTTCTTGTGACCCTACTTACTAAGGCCCCGGGAGCCCCCTGGCAGCCGAAATGCGAACACCTGAAACCAGATATGACAAAAAGGACATGGCTGAGTTTAGGGTTAAGTACTCTCGGACCTGAACAGTTAAACACTGAATCAACATAACACACAGGTGCAAAAACCCTACACGCTAAACCCCAAATCCCATAAACCAATAACCGCTAAATCCTCAGAGCCCCGAGCCCGAGTACCAAGATCCTTGAACCTGAAGCGGCCCTTATTGTAACCCTTGTTGTCTCATGATAATCCTCACTTCTAGTGACCCTCAAACGTAATCCAAGGGTCTCAATACTAAAAGGGTTCACATTTAAAGAAATTTGTTGGGGGCCTGTAGGGTCCGGAAGAGGAGTTTCCATTACGTAGGCGTTTGTAGGCTTTGCGACCTCTAAAAAGGGCTAAGGGTTCTCATTTAAAGAAACTTTTCCGGAAAGCCTAGGTTTGGCAGTAAAGTAGTAAAAGATAGGCCTCTACTAAGGCTGTAGCTGCAGTAAAGCAGCAAAAGATAGGCCTCTACTAAGGCTCCAGCTGCAGCCAAATCACTGCATCAGCTCTTCTCTTCACAGCCCACCCCCCAATGCCCCAATCATTCCACTAATGCGACCCCCCCACTGTCCACTATTGTGACCACCCTAATCCCTGGACCCCCTGGGGAGCGGGGGGACCCCCCCCCACTATTGCGACCCTAGGATTAGCAACTTTCAATGATAGTGACCCTTACAGTAAACTACCTCCATGTTGAAGCCACCGAACTCGAGCCCCTCTAGCCTTTGTGAGCTCTGGAAGGCAAATGCCAGGCCCAAAGCCAGCGCGTCTTGCGTCAGCTCCTCGAGTGCATCGCACGGGCTTCGTGCGTGTTGCAAGATATTCCCAGATCTCTTTGGTTTGCCAGTAGTAGCTCCTTAGTAACAATAGTACCCTTTGGAACCCCAAAAGAAAAAGGGCAAAAGGGTACTAGAAGGTGAACCCTAAACCCTGAACCCTGAACCAAAAGCGAGAGAATAGGGCTTGAGGCCGTGTTTTACACTGTGGTACAGCACAGTCATATAGTATAGGGACTCTACCGGAGTACTACGAATTTTGCCGACCTCTTAAGTTAGTCGCAGTGTAGGGTTTAGGGATGATTTATACTATGCAAAGTTCTTTCGGAGTCTAGGGTTTTGGGATATTATATACTATGCAAAATTCGGTTCAATCCGGGTCCTGCGGCCGCCGCTCTTTCACAGCGGGAACGAGCAGGAAATGATTCCTGGCAGTCTGCCGCCACTCCGTGTGGCTGCGAGCGGCTGCGGGTTTTCGGGCTTTGGGGTTTTAGGGCTTCGGGGTTCAGAGTCTAGGGTTTCGGGGTTTAGGGTTCAGGGCCTTGGGCTTTAGGGCTTGGGGGTTCGAGGTCTCGGGCCGAGGGTCTTCAGGGTTAAAGGGCTCAGGATTTAGGGCCTAAGGGTCTGGGACCTCGGCGTCAAAGCCTCCTTAACTCAAACTACGATTGATGATGGAAATCCTACGGGTCCTGTAAAACGATCATGGGATCATAGCATTAGGGTACCTTTCAGGGGTTCCTTTAAGGGATCTATAGGCTTTTAACTACTGTTGATGATATATAAATCCTGCATTACCTTAAATCATGACCCTGGGCTATGGGAACCATGGTATATTCCTTATAATGAGTAACGTAGGATTTATATCATCAACCGTAGCAGCCCTTCGCGCGGATATTCCCTCAAGGCTTGTGGCGTTGGGGCTTGGGCGCTTCTAGATGTCTCGAGTGCTTCCCGGCTGAGGGGCGCATACTTAAAGGTTCAGGGGACTTCATTACCAACTAGGGCTGGAAGTACCTTTATTGTGGTTACAAGTAGATACCAATATAATTACCTTTCGCCTCGCCCTACTTGCTAAGTCCCCCGATCCTTGAAGTGAGCTTTCGCTCAGGTCTCAAGGTGCAACTGCCTCGATCTCCCGCCGCTTAATTAAGAGCACCATCCTGTATTACCCTAAGTACCAAATATTCCACCTCATATTTGGCGATGATGATGTTGGGCAGAGGCCATGCTAAAGGTGCCACTCCGACTCCTCCCGGTCATCCGGCGTCATGTTTTGCGAGCGCTTGAAGCCCGATTCGAAGCCCTTGATATAAATTTCTTGCCTGAGCGTATAAGCTATCAATTATTTCATGATGGTTCCTCTCAAGAAAAAGTATGAATGTATGCTCCGAAGCCACTAAACGTTAATCTCAAACCCAATGCAAGCCGCATTTCTTTCGACAACGAGCTCGACCACGTCCATTCCACTTTTGTTTCCACAGGCTTTTCAATGCCTTCGATCTTGATCATGATCACGAACTCAGATTTCGCTGAGGCGCTTGGAGCATTGTCTGCCATGACGATCGCACGTGTAGGAAAGGAAACAACTCTGTATCACTAGCACTGAAAGCGGACTGCCATTGCTATGCAATTGCCAAGTGCCCTGAGGAAGAGGAAGATGGGGATGAGGAGGATGAGGATGATGCTGATGAGGCTGATGATGATGAGGATGCGGATTACGCGGATGAGGAGGAAGAGGAGGAGGATGTGACGATGATGATGGTCATGATGAGGAGGAGGATGAAGATGAAGATGATGGTGGTGGTGATGATGATGATGAATAGTCTTTAGTCTCAGCAACAGTCATGCTGCGTTGCTCTGCCGCAGACTCTTAGGCTTTAAATCTTCAGTTGCCTACCAGAACCCTAACCGTCAGCCATCAGACCCCACACCCTGAACTCGGCAACCTCAAACTCCCGAACCCTCACACTCGCATACCCTAAACATTCAAACCCCAAACCCTGAAACTCAAAGCCCTAAGCCGTCCTGCATGCCGGATGCTTGTTGATGATGACGACCTTCGAGGCACAGGCTAAGAGCCCAAGATAGGGGCCTTAACAAGTAGAATACGTGTCCTGTGAAGGTGTCTTCAAAGGGATCTGCAAAGATTGTATAGTATAGAGGCCGAGGTAAGTAGAATGCGGTTTTGGGTATGTTAACTTGTGTAACAACAATGAACCCCGAGGACAAGTAATCGCAATTAATCAGGCCTCGATATTCTTCGGTGATTCCGGGCCCTTGCGCTTTGGGGCGCGGGTCAAGATTCCAAAAAATCCTGGATCCCAAACCCGAGGAAGGATCCCTCAATAACTGAAGGTACAGTATATTCCTAAATCCCTAAACCCATAACTCAAGGTTTTGTCTTGAAAGGAATCCGACTTGGGGTTATGATACTTATAAGTAACCCTATAAACCCAACACCCTCAACCCTAAACCCTACTAAGTCCCCCTACCCTCCAAGCAAAGCCCTCTTCGAATTCTTAAGGCCCCCTATATAGATCTTTTATGGGAACCCTTGTAATACCCTCCTTTAACATAACCCTAATTATTCCATAAGCATCAAGCTAAGTCCCCCGACCCTCCTAGCCCAGAGCCTCCAAAACCCCTTAATTAGGGAGTATACCTGAAATCATATAAGGGATCCTATTATAGTTTAAGGCATATTCCTTAATTAAGGGGTTTTGGAGTCTCTGGGAGCAACTAGGATACCCAGTAACCTAAGAATAAAAAGGCCTCTCTTTTTGGTATTGGGTAACTTTATAAGGAACCTGGGACTACAAAAAGGGAATAAGGGTACTACTGGGCATCCTAGCCTAGCAAAGCCCAGGCACTGCCGGCTCCTCGGAGTCCACCCCGCAGGAGCGATGACCGGCAGCCGCAGAGACAGGGCAGGTGCTCGAGGAGGCCTGCGTAAAGAGCCCCAGATCTTAGGGATTCCGAGAGTTTCCTTTTTAAAGTCGGGTTCCTTTAAGGGTTCTTGTAAGGGATCTATAGGGATACCTATTAGGGTTTAGGGTTAGGGATTCCGAGGGTTTCCTTATGTTTAGTGCAGGACTAGGGTATCCTTATACTAGGGATTACAAGGGTTACCTGGGCTTTAGGTTCAGGGCTTGGGGTGCCAAAGATCCCTCATTTTAGGGATAAGGGTTGAGGGTTTAGGGCTTGGGGTTGAGGGGGTTCTGTAAGGGTTACAAGAAGGGTGTAGTATGGGGGCCGTAACAAGCTCCCACGGAACATGCCGTGCAAGAATGTACAGAACATGCGAAGTGTCTCCAGAACCTGTGAAGGATCCACCGTAAATCTAGACTCAGAGACTATGTTCCTCAGTTGAACAACCCCAGATGCGAAGAAGCCGGGTTCAGGGTTTAATGTAGGAGCCTGATTAAGAAACCCTGGGTCTATAACCCCAAAATTCATATAGGGAACCCTAATAAAGGCCCAGGTTTTCTTAATCAGATTCCTACATTAGGGTCATTACACAGAGTTCAGAGTTTAAGGACTCTCAGGGCTTGGAAGTTCAGCTGTAGGGGACAAAACCATGGGAGCAGGCTTTCGGGGAGATGTCGAGCCCCGCTTAGGATTAGCCTCCTCTATACTCTGCGATACTTAGAGGATCATGGGACTTAGTAAGTAGGGTTCCTTAAAGGGCTCCTCAAAGGGATCTGTGGGGTTCAGGGTTTAGGGTCTACGTCCCCTGATCCGCCAAGTAGAGGGGCTTCGGAGCCCCACTGCGGGGAATCAACACACACACACACACACACACGCGCAGGGGCTATGTAGGAACCATGTTGATTGCCGAGGTGAACAAAAGATGAGTATTAGACTGTACGCTCCACCCTACGCAAGCGGATCTAGAGGCTAGTCTCATGCCTTGTTTTCTAAGACCCTGCACCGTGCTCGCAAGTCTGGCTAAACCCTGAACCCCAGAAGGGGATCGTCAAGACAAGCAGGATCTTGGACAAGCATAACCCGAACTCAGGGTTTCATGATAGAATGTCGGTCTGCGATAGCACTTACCTCAGGGTTGATGGCGAATTAACGTAACCTGGTCTTCGGGTTTTGGGGCTGAACAAAGGTCCTTAAATGGGCTCCCAGTCTACAAGTGGCACTCTTGCACGGCTGCTCTTTTTTGCGCAAGGCTCGCTGCCACTGCTCCATGTTGATGTTGGAAAGCCCAACATGCCTTCCTAATTTCAGTCATGCCTGCCATCTGCTAAGTTTAACTTCCACTCAAACTTACAACGGCCCCAGGTGTATTGGCACAGCTTGTTACAGCTAAAACCGGAGGTGTATAATTATGCAGCAGCATGACAGGCCTAAGACCGATACCTACAGAAAACATGTCCAAAAATCCAATGCCATGCTCCGGTGGCATTGAGAACGCCGCACCGATGCCCAGCTGCACGATGATCCGGGATTCCTGGGGGAATCAGGCATCCGAATGTAGTTGAAGAAGAGAACCTCTCCCAAACCATTAATACCCTTCCCAAGGCGAAGCCTAGGATGTATTATTTTAGCTTTATACGAACCATGCTAAGCACTCAGACTTGGCTTACTTATCATATAGAGTTTCAACCAAACTAAATTTGGTTAAACCTGAAAGCCCCTAAAATCTTGCTCACACCACAACCCCCCGTACACAATCATTCCCTAAGTGTGGTATACACACAGATATGTGGCAAGGCCGTCACAGTTAGATAAAATTGTCGGGATGTTGGTTGTTGCCTTATACATAGTTTCGTGCTACAGTTCATCATCCATCGCAAAGCAAACATGATCAGTCCTGCTGCTCTGCCAAATGCACCACAGCGCTCAGTATCCAAAGACCTTCTTGCATGCTCGACGGCCGGCTGCCCTGGCCTGACACGAGGTAAGATAGGATTGCTGTGAGGTTTCGATTCCCGATTGCTCTAATTGCAGCACCCCTGCCCTTTGGAAACCGTCCCTTCAAAGTCACAATTGAAAAAACTCCGGCCTGCTTCTTCGTACCCCCCATGTTCTTCTTCGTGTGGTAGCCCCGGGAATAGACACACGCCCGGGTCATCTTGAGTTCGCCGCGCTTGCCCCAAGCCTTCACCTCGTTGGTCTTCTCGCTGGTAGGCTTTGTCGCACTCTTCGGCTTGGGACTGGGCTTGTTGCCACACTTCGAGCTGGTAGGCTTCGTCGCACTCTTAGGCTTGGGACTGGGCTTCTTGGCACTCTTCGGGCTGGTAGGCTTGCTCGCACTCTTCGGGCTGGTAGGCTTGCTCGCACTCTTCGGGCTGGTAGACTTGTTCCCACTCTTCGGCTGGCTGGTAGGCTTGCTCGCACTCTTCAGCGGGCTGGTAGACTTGTTCGCACTCTTCGGCTGGCTGGTAGACTTGCTCGCATTCTTGAGCGGGCTGGTAGACTTGTTCGCACTCTTCAGCGGGCTGGTAGACTTGCTCGCACTCTTCGGCGGGCTGGTAGACTTGCTCGCACTCTTCGGCGGGCTCGTAGGCTTGCTCGGACTCTTCGGCTTGCTTGCACTCTTTGACTGGGCTTTGGCCTTGGGCGAAGTGCTCTTCTTGGGCCGCCCTGGACCCCGCTTGCCAGTCTTCGACTTCGCAGCCGTGGGCTTCTTCTTAGGATCCGGAGCTGGAGCCAGCTTGGGGCTTCGTGCTGGAGTCGCCGGTGTGCGCCGAGGACTCAAAGTCTCAGCCCGGCTTGGGACTGGGCTCCGCATCTGCAGATTCAATGCCTCATGAAGCATCTCAGCACGATGTCGTCTCTTCGGCGTAGGTGTGTCGTCCAAGCCGGAGTCTTTGTCAAAGTCCAATCGTCTTTTGGTTGTCGGCCCGGCTACCTGACTTCGTCGATCCAATATCTACCCTATCGGAGGTCGGTATAAAAATGAATCAACCAACGATGCTGCCAAAGTCACCTTGGCCTCAGACTCAGGCGAAAGCAGGTCCACTGGCACCGTGTTAGCCTGCATATGTCATATATACACAATAATTGACATTCACATTCTAAGTCTATACACTTAATACAAATCACCGTTGGATTGCAACTGCCTACATTCCCTGCCGCACTCAGCACAGACATGACCTTCAACACAATCAGACCATCGCAGGCACTTGCACATGCTACCTGTAAGATCCATGCTTAGGCTCACATACGGTTGGAGAGTAGCAAGTAAGACCCTCCAACAGATCCATACAGAATCCCAGGACATCCTTCTTGCTGACTGGACTGCCCTATGATGAGATCATGAAGGACCGGTCAGTCTGCACTAGGCCAAGCAGGCGGGCTGTTCTTCGACAAGCTACAATAATTGCACCGATTACATTATTCCAAACCAGAACCCTTCCGCTCCTCCGGGGTGTGCACGCGCCCAAACTTCTCTGGCTGATCGGCTGGATTGTCCTGCAAACGGTTCATTGCAGTGACATCCCAGTATCAGTAAGTAAGCCGTCGAGACTATATTATTATGTTATTGCTAGGCTCCTTCATGGTCTCGGCAAACTGGTTTTGGTGACGGGCTGCATCTGCCATCTCGTCGTGGTCCTGTGGGTGGCTACCGGTAGGGCTTAGGGATCGTCGAGACAGTATGACCTTGTCACATCGCTTCTCCTGAAAGGTCTCGGCAACCTCCTTCGGCACAGCATTCTCTTCGCAGTCCTGCGGGTGGCTATCGGTAGAACACACGACTCGGTCGAGACTATGATCTTATCACATCGCTCCTCCTGAAAGGTCTCGGCATCCCCCTTCGGCACAGCATCTGCCTGCAAGCCCTTGTTCCCTTCGTGGTCCTGCGGGTGTCTATGGGTAGGAAATAGGACTCAATCGAGACGTTGATCAGTTATTGACCTTATCACATCGATCCTGAAAGGTCTCGGCAACCTGCTTCGGCACGGCATCTGCCTGCAAGCCCTTGATCTCTTTGTGGTCCTGCGGGTGGCTATTAGAGAGTAAGACTCGATCGAGACTATGATAATGTCACATCGCTCCTCCTGAAAGGTCTCGGCAAACTCCTTCGGCACAGCGTCTGCATGCAAGCCCTTGATCTCTTGGTTGTCCTGCGGGTGGCTATCGGTAGAACACACGACTCGGTCGAGACTATGATATTATCACATCGCTCCTCCTGAAAGGTCTCGGCATCTTCCTCCGGCAAAGCGTCTGCCGGCAAGCCTTTGGTCTCATTATAGTCCTGCGGGTTGTTATCGTAAGGAGATTCGTGTCGAACATCAAGACTATATGATACCATTACATCGATCCTGCAAGGTGTCGGCAAACTCCATGTCCTCGATCTTCTTGCGGTCCTGCAAGTCGGGCTTGTCGGTAGGGGTCCGGACCTATTTATTACTATTTGCGGTGACAGGAATGATTTCAATGACTTCAGGTTCTGGAGTACTACTGCTTACTGGCACATAGTACTGGATTTTAGTTCGGGTCCGCACGGCTCATATTGCTTCAGCAGATGCATGTTGCTGGGAGTCCTGCAGTGGCGTGTCCTTCAAGTGTTCACCAAGCCGCAAAGTCGTAGCATCGGACCTTATTTTTGCTAGACCAGAACATGTTATGACACACATGGCCGTGCGTATAACACTTAACAGGCATCTCTGTTCTTGCCGGCATGCTTCGCAGTTTCACCGTCACTGATGACCACGTCCCTCTCCTGGACGAAGATCAAGTATTATAACAGAGACAAACATCGCAAATTACGATAAGCCCCTCCCCTTTTAATGTTCTCATTACAATGTTGTAACACTCCTGCAGGGTCTCCGCAATCTCCAGTGCTGCAGTTGGCGACGAGCACTCCATCTCCTGAAGCTGCTTGTCGGCATGACACTCGTTGCTACAGTCAGATACACCGAACTAGTAATCTACTCTTCTTACACGACAACGTCTTCATGTTCAGTACGACATGAAGATACTCTTTGTG